CCCAGAGAAGTTACATAACTTGCTTGCAGTCACAAGTAAATGACAAAGACAGAGTATCTCTGTCTAGCTTCAGAGTTCATGCTCTTAACTCAGAGTCTACTTTCTCTTTTATTATTTAACAGCTGGTAGGAGCTACATCTGGTTATTTGTGTGGCTTAGGAATTTAAGTGACGTAAATTTAGGTAAGTATCAATTGCCCTAGAACTTCAAAAGCTCCCTCCTCATTTCTCAGGAAGTCAGTTCACCAGCAACTTTTCCACCCAAATCTGTTAAGTCAAAATGGTCTTCTAGTTCATGAAATAGTCACAAAGCCCTTACACTAATTTCATACACTTTATCCCTTGGACTCTCCTTCCTAATGCTTATTTTGACATAGAAGAGACAAAAGGGAAAGGGACAGAAAATTTATAAATAATAAACCTATTTGTATCATGACATAGCACAATAAAATTTTTATGATGATTCCACTGAATTGTTAGCAAAAGGTTAAATAATGTTCACTGCCCTTTATTTTAAAAAGCAGGGAAATAGACAATATATGTTAAAAGGTCTTTTCTCAAAAATGTTCAAATTCCAGTTAGTTGTTCTGTAGGCTCAGCTTCTATAATGAGAGATCATATTTGTGGAATAATCTGTTCCCAGCAGTGCCAGATAACTAAGTAAAAGAGGCATCGTTGTGGAAAGAACACTGGGTGAGTTGGAGACTCTCTCCCACTAGCTTGCTGATAAATGATCTGGGCAGGTCATTTATCCTTTCTGTGCCTCAGACTGCTTATGTGCCTCCCTCAAAGAGTTATTGTAAAGATTAAATGAAATAATGTATGTGAAAGTGCCTAGTATGTAGTGTGTTCTCAGTAAATATTTGTTAAAGAAAAAAGTAGTGTTGCATTCCAGTGTCAAAGATAAATTATATTTGAATTATGCCTTGGATATTGTCTGTGCAATAACACACATGTAGAAATATGGATAAAGGAATGGATTCTTCAATAATTATTATACCTTCCTTTTGATTTATTCAACTTTTTTGTCTTTGACTTACTTTGAAGAATGTAACTATTCAAAGACAGAATCCTTCCCCTTTGATAAAACCCAGATGCACCGGGCACATGCATTTTCTGCAAAGATTCATTCAAGGACTGAAAGGTCTGGGAACTTTTCTCTTTTAATTCCACCATACTTCTGTTTTGTTTGACTTGGCAAGTAGGGATGGAGAGTGGACCTTGGTTCATATCCTATTCTTGTGACGAGAGAATGACCTTGAAAGGATCAAGCAGGTTATCAGTCTCTGTCACGAACAATCCCAGGCCATAAGCATGGCAATCAACACAAATAACTAATTGTATTTTGCTGTCTCAAACAGTATTTAATGTGCAAGGGTGAGACTGGGCAATTCAGAGTATCAAAATGACTTGGAGCTTTAATTTTTTTTAATAAGAAATGTATATAACTCCTTTTCTCAATTTTAGATAATTTTTCAGAGATTGAAGGTAGCCCATGAATATTTTCTAATACCTTTCCAGGAGATTCTGATCCACACTCCCCACAGCCCCCCAACCATGAAAACTACTAGCTTAGTATATTAATTATGCTTGGCAACAATTCGACCTCACCCCAGTCAGCATAACAATGAGCTGAAACTGATCACTGACTGCTTCCTTCAGTAAGGTGACATCCTCAGTGTCCCTATCATGAACTGTATGTGGCATATGTCTTTTACACTAGGTCTACTGTATGATTTTAGCTGGGAATGAAGGGATGTATCCCAGTGCTACTCTTGATCTTGGGCCTCATCAGTCATGCCTCTCTGTGTAGGGATAAGCAGGTCTGCGTTGTAGCTCTGTGCCTTGCTAACATTAATGTGCTTATAAAATGTCTCTGGATCTTGCTGAAATGCAGATTCTAATTCAGTGGTCCTGGAGTGGGTCTGAGAGTATTCATTTCTAATAATCTCCCTGGTGCAAAAAGTAGCAAGGGTCCACATCATGCCCAGGTCCCCAGGCTCCTGAAATTCCTTGAACAAATGACATCAACTCTGCACAACCTCTTCCCTGGGTCTCTCCTAATGAAGACAGGATGTTTGGTCAGTGTGACACTCCAAGGCCTGAGAAGTAAGCAAGTGAATGCTTAGGGTGTGGGTCTGTGGTGACAGTGTAGATGTGTGAAGCTCTTGAGATGGTGCACAAAAGAGCAGAGTTCAGAAAATAAGAGGGGATCATAGGATTGACTCTGGGATTGGGATCACAGACCATGAACTAATTCTCCTGACACTGCCATATTCTAACACAGAATTCCAATATACAAGTGTTAGCAAGGAAATGAGGGGGTCCCTGGAACCACCATGCTCTAAAGGGGCCCAATCATCCATATGTATAAAGACAAAGCATACTCAGTATTAAAGAACGTTAATGGAATTAGTGTGCATAAAGAAGGATAGGATAATAGCTTCTCAATAAAACATCCCAAATTACCCATCCCCTCGTGGGTAAATGTCCAGCCAAACAGAGTTGGTTTGAAGTGGGCCCACTGAGGCCCAAAATCTTGCCACAAATCTAAGGCATCTTCTGGTAGGGAACTGTGGGAAGGGAATGAAAGAGGGCAGGCAGGTCTGGGATGAAAGGAGAAAAATCAAGATTATGACTATCATTGTGAGCCTCCCCATGTGTCTCTCACTCATATGTCTCTTCCAAGTATCTCTACATGTATCTCCTCCATGTCCCCCATGTCCCTGGTGCAAGTCCAAAGTCAAGAAGCAAGTGCCCTTCTTCTCCACGTGTCTTTCTCTCTCCTGGCCCATCTGTTTTCCATGTTAGATATCTTTACCTATTCACTCAGCTCCACCCCCTAGTTCCCATTAGCTAAGGAGGCAGTCCAAGGAAGCTGCTTAAAAGTCTGAGCAGGGAACATGGTTCATCCCCTTTTATGGAGATGTCTCTGCTATATAAGTATTATAAATTCAGTCATTCAAGGTTGTTAATTAATGTAGAAATATAAGACACATTTTTGTTTACTTGACTATGGATATTTTAAAATATGAAGACATACAATATGTGGTCCTTCATTTGTAGCCCTGCTGCCAGTCCCCAAATTGTTAGAGGTGTAACTGTCAATAGCCACGCTAATTTGTGTCCACAATTTAGCACTCAGCTAGAGCTTTCTGAACATAGACTTCAAATGATGAAAGGAGCAAGGGAAGTTATTAAGCTTTATTGGAACAGTTCTTTTGCAGCTGAATGCATTTATTTCCAATGTTATTTGAATCTCTTTCACTTTCCACACATGTCTCTTTCATATGCAACGTGGGTTTTTTTTAAGACCTTTAATATGTATATTTGTCTATACAGTACTGAATCTCTAGGGTATGAGGCAGTCACAGTTTCTTTTGGTTAACAGTCTTTGCAAATGTGACTCCAGAGTTGTAAGACAATGAAACCCACCCAGTTCAAAAGAGAAGATTGGCTTGCCATGCTCTTTGACTTAAAAAAACAAGCTAACCAAAAGCCAAAAAAAAAAAAAGTTAGAAAAAAAGGAAAAGAAAGAAAAAGAAAAACCACATTCTCTCATCTTTTTGTAGTGGCATATTTTTACAAGTTCTGGGTTAGCAGTCAAATCTCAGTTCCACTATTAGAAACTATATGATTCTAACATATCCAGGCCTCAATTTTTTCACCTTTAAAATGTAGATAATAATATTGTGCTTTCAGTGTTATTAAGAGGGTCAAAGGAAATGACACACATAAGGGTCATTAAAATGGTACCTAATGCAGAATTATCACTCAAATAATATTTTCTGTTGTTTAATTCATTCAGGTTTTTCTTTTTTACAGCTTTATTGAAGTGTAGTTGATATGTAAAAAACAGCAGATATTTAATGTATGTATTGTGATGAGTTTGGTCATACTCATACACCCAGTTTTCCAGTGCCACAATTTCCAAGTTATAGTTCAGTGGTGTTTTATCTCCTTATTGAAGTTGTATGAATGTTTTCTTCTCATATTGATTTTTCTCTTCTTTGAAGTCCTTCATCTTTGATAATTTCTATCTTACTATTTAGCTTTTGCTTATATTTCATTGTGTATCATTAATTTTACATGGTTTTCCTAATCATAATATCCCTCACTTATTCTGTGTCCTCCACAGTTCTGTGTTCAGTATTGAACACAAGTAAAAACCTCAAATTTTGTAAGTGTTCGATTAATTAATTATAAGAGAACATTTAAAACATTCTGACTTGATGTTCAAGAAAAAAGAAAAGAGAAAATGGCTCAAATAAGACTGGGGCTGGAATCATCAGAAAGCAAGAAAAGGTTGGAGAAGGGAAATCACACTGTTTGCTGAGCAGGAACAGAGATTAAATAACTGTCACCTGGCAGAACTTGGTGCAAAGGCTAACTGGCTGCTTTTACTGAGTGAGGGGAGCAGGATTACTTGAAATTTCATTAAGTAACATCTTCCTACTACATCAGTGATTGGATTAGCTCTTTTCTATGGATCCTACTTTCCACTATGGGTAAATTCTCAGAGCATAACTATTAAAAACTGAGCCCTAAGAACAGTAATGGACAACGGGACCATCAAGAAAAAGCAGAATTAGAGTGAGGATGTTTGTAGAGACAGTAATTTGCATACATGTATACAGCCTTGTCACTCTCTACTACTAACCTGAAAGCAAAATCTCGTCAGTCCCTTCCTACTCAACAGCACTTCATCTCTTATTTGCTTAAGGCATCCAGTGAAACCAAACAGCATAGAACTGGTTCCACGCCACAATATAGGATGAAAACAAGCAGTGGATTTAGCAAAATCCTAATTTGTTTACCCCCATCTGACAGAGAGAAATGTTTATATTTATTTCTGTGACTGCAATACCATGTGGCGTTCCAGAGTTGTGACACTTGAAAGCATCATGCAAGGTTGAAAGTCCATTTGTTCCTTCCTATTTGGTCAGCAAATATATTTGGGTTTTCACTTCACACCAGTGAATGTGGGAAGGGATGCAGTTTTGACATTGTTTCTTTACCCTCACGCTCCATGTAAGCAGAAGTTGTCTGTTTGGCAGTCTAGTGACTGTACATAAAGCCCCTGTTTACTTAATCTGAATGTCCGTTCCTTTCCTGCTGGGCCTGCAAAACAAATGAAATGAAAAAGTGTGTCTGATTATAATTGTGTGAGTCTGAAATAGACATTGGGGTCCCTGAGTAACTAAAAGCACCCTCTGTTTACATGTTTCTGCAGTTTCTGTCACTGCAGCTGTATTATAGCTTATAACAACTAATCTCTTTTTATTTGTATTGAACTTTATTTTATTTTGTATTAAAGGCGCTTTTAAGCTGTCTCTTCCAAACGTGTCCAAGGTTTCATAACTGTCTTAATGGTGTTTACACATTATAGTGACGGCAGAGAATTTCCTCCAATCTGGATTTTGTTAAGAGTGATTTTAAGAATAGTTTGCAGGACAATTAAAATGTGTTAATCTGTATTTGAAAACTTAATCCGGTTAAAATTGGTTTCCATCCATTTATATTTGCCAAAGTTTCCTACGTCATGTAGCTAGGGTTTTCTTGAAAGGTGGGAAAAGGGGGTTGTGGGGAGGAGAGGGCTGGTCTGGAGTCATGCTAGATTTTGGGCCTCTGGGCCAATGTCCTCTTAACATAACCCATGTTCCACTTCAGGAGAAAATGAAGCACTGAAGGGTCGGAAATGGGGCTTGAGCAAGCACACTTTTCATGCTCAACAAAGCCTAACGTCATTTCACTATGCAATTTGAGTTATGTGTGTGCTTTTAATAAACATCCTCACAAAAAATAAATAGATTTGTTCTGCTTAAACTGGCATACAAAGGGTTTGGGGGGAAAAAGTCTTTAATACCTCCTGGGGATTGTAAGGTAACTTCACACCCCAGCTTCCTGTGGGGTATGTGTGATAGCGATTTGACAGGAAATAAGTGGATCTTGTCCTGGGCTTGGAAGGAGACTTGACCCTGGAGCTTAATGGTGTGAGTCTGAAGGCCTGGGAGCTTCCCGCCCAGCAGGGGGTAGCCAAGCACTGGTAACAAGGAAAGAATTCAACCTTGTAGGCTCCATTCTCCCCTGCTCCAGCTAACTAGTCTCAGATTCTAGAAGCTGGGCTCTCCTTGTCAGTGATTAGATTATTTACTCTGAGGGAACCACCCATCTGAGGCACAATCACTCACCTGAGCTCAGATCTATGCAACAGACTCTTGAAAGGTGTCCCAATAAAGTGGTAAAAGAATAGTTTAACTGCCAAAGGTTTGGAATGAAAATTAGTGGGCTGGGGGGAGACAAGTTTTACTTTCCTTCTGACTTTTTTCTCTTCTCTCCCAGTGGGCAGAAACCCAGAGTCCCCTGGGGAAGGATGGAGAGAGAAGAAGGCAAACCAATTGCCCTGGTTGTGGTATGTGGATGTGTGAGTATGTGTGTGTGGTATGTAATTGTGTGTGGTATGTAATTGTGTGTGTGTGTGTGCAAGTATATGATGTGGGGAGCCTGTGGACAGAATCCCCACAACCACTCCTGAGAAAATCTGGGATGAAGCAGGTGAGCCCCCAGGATGGCTGGCTGGAGGTCAGAATGGAGGAGAATTCAGTGTTGAACTGCTAGGCTGCTGGGGAGAAAGAACTGCTTAGCTGAACTGGCTGATAGGGAGGAGGAGGGGGTAGGAGGGTGACAAGGTCACTAAAGAAAAAATATTTTGAAGGAAGCCTGTGCTCCTAACTGTCTGCTGTAGAAGGAGACTGAGCCTGCGTCACTGTGGCGCCCACCGAGAACCTTGGCCCCAGGTCTCCCGGGCACTTCACCTTGTTGCTTTCCACTCAGGCCATTTTCCGTTGATGCTGCTTTTCTTTGTTCTGTTTTCTCCCAGTGCAATGAACCCTTACATTATGGGTTTCTGTTGTAGTTCTAACCTCTAATACACAACCATTACATCTTATCTCGTCTTCTAAATTACTCTAAAATCCAATTATAAACCCCCCTCCCCCTCCTTCAAGAGCACACAACTTGCCACATTACTGAAATGCTGGGCTGCTCTTTTGTTTTTCTAAATTAATAATAACTACCATTTTCCGTCTGCTCTTAGCATGGGAGTCTTTTCTATCACCACACAGCTTTCCAAAATGCATATTATGATTCTTTTTGCATTTTTGCTGGGCTACAAAAAAGCTAAGGATAATTTTCCAAATATTCATAAAAGATCTGTCTTTTGGTTTTTAGTATCCAGACATTTGAAACACTACAATTCTTATAAAAGAAAGAATTTTAAAATGTATCAGCTAAAATTTCTCTACTGTTTTGTTTTGTTGTGGGTTTTGTTCAAGAAGTCCATCGCTTAAAACTTTGAAAACCATTTATTTGAAGGTTTTCAAAGGTTAGGATGAAGTTTGTTAACAATTTCATGGATTAAAAACTCTTAGTCCTATTAAGGGGTCAAAGCATAAGTGATGGTGTATTTTTTCTGAATACCTGTTTTAAGTTTGTTAAATCTATATGAGGGAGTGATTATCTTAAAGATGGATTAAACTACTACAAATTAGAGAAATATTTCAGTAAAAGTAAACATGCCAGGAATATTTTAGGGAAAACTTTAACACTACTGAGAATATCCTCAAATACTTTCTCTGGCAGAGGGATAATTGTGATTTGTAATAGAAAATTGCTCTTCGGAAAATACGGTGAAATTCAAATCCAATATTAGAAAAAGGAATCTGACGTCTTTTACTGTTTTGTAATCACAGATATATAATTGGACTGCAATTGCTTTTCTTACTTCCAAATTCTTACATTTAGTCTTGGAGAAAAATGTATTTGATATACCTAAAGCAACTGATTATGCACCAACAAAATATGTTTGATGTGTGATTATTAAAAATACATATTTGGCTAATCAACCACTGTGCTGTAACTTCACAAACTTGAGCAGTGTCCAGTGGAGCTTTTCAGTGTGCTGTGAATTTTTTTTCATGCTCAGGCTTTAACTTCTTAGCATAAATATACCATAAATGTCAGAAAGATCGGAAAAGTCACTCTAAAGTGCATGTTAAATTTCAATTGAACATTTAAATAGTAACATCTCTAGTTAGATGTTTTGTATATATTTTTAATATACAAATGAACTCTAGGCATTTTCAGTGGCCAAAGTGAAGACCCGGGACAATGACTGATAGTAGAACTGAAATGGCACCACAAGTGAGATGAACCAGAACATCCTAATCACTAAATAACATAATCACATACAAAATATAGGAACATGATTGCTATCAGGAGCATAACTCAGAGAAAATGGAGATCAAGGAAAAGAAAACCATAAACTATGAAAAAAAACAAGAATTACAGTTTTTTGTTCTTATAGTGGTTATATATTGCCTGTACAATAATTATAGATATGTAGTTTTATACAACAATTATCAAAATATATACTGTATATCATATGCTCCTTTTAGTTGTCTTGAACAAATAGACCCTATAATCTTGATTTAGACATGATGAAAGCATCATTTAACTTTTCAACAGTGTTAGAGTAGCTACCTTTTTCTTGTTTTTTTCTTTCTGAGTGCCTTTTTCCCCCTCTCTCTCTTTTCCTTTTTAAATTTCCCAATGAAATTAAACATAGCTGGGATTATTTCTAAATTCTGAATATTATCTTGTAGTTTCAGTGTGACCTAAAAGCCATCTATAAGGCTTTTTTTTTTAACCTACTCCAGTATGTAGTACAACTCAAATTTCATTCAGGTTTAGATGGCTTAGAAATTGACTTTATCTTCTCCAGTATTCTGGAGTTCTTTAAGACTCTATGATATTTTCTTTTATTCCTGTGTTTTAATGAGTTTCTAATCATCTGAGCAAAGCAGGTTCAGTTCACATAACTTAAAATACATGGGTAGGTTTTGTGGTATTGATCTTTGTTAATATAAAGAGTGTATTTGCTATCATATATGAAAATTGCATAGCAAAACCGAAAAGAAACATTAAAATTTATCATTACATTGTTGTCCACACTCTATGGGGCCTCATTTTTTTTTTTTATTTAAGATTTTGAGGACTTGTGGGTAAGTTAATATATAGACTATCTGATCTCTAAACTTTTAAAAATAACCTATTATTTATATCTACTAAACAAATCAAAAGCAGCTATATGATAAATGACATTGAAAAAATGGCATCTAGTAGATAAACCATATTCCCCTAATTTATAAGCCACCACTAGCAGTTGAGAATTTGTGTCAATTTAGAGATAGACCAGGCCTTGGGTCACAGGAGCACTATTTGGAGTGATTGTAGCAGTAATTACTCTGTGGAACCCTTGAGGCTTAGAAGAATTCATACAGCTTGCAGGGAAACTGCACACCTGACCAGTCACTCAGGTAGGAGGACTGCCTGATTGAATGTGTCATAAGCATGTCTCAACTGTGATTTTTAAGGAGCAAGATGCAACAGTGCAGTGGGACTTTCCCCCATTTCTCTACCCCTCTGCCAACATGCTCGTAGGGCACTGAGCACTGGTGCCCCCACCCCTTGCAGTGCTGCAGCACTGGGAGATTAGGATGGCCTTAAAAGTGAAAGCCCATCATTTAAAGTCATGATTCTACCTTCCAAAAAGAGATTGAAATACAGCGATATAAAAATACATAAGGCATCAAGATGTAGCAAATGTGGCCTCCCATTAGAGTTCTCTATTTAAGTGGGATCATAGTTTTGAGCCTATTTTCCGTAAGATTGTGTAGATTTTCCACAATCAGCTTTACAACTGAAAAAAGACTCCACTAGACCCATTTTTTTTTATATCTACTAAATGAAATTTGCTGGCCTTAAGTAAGATAAAATAAAATAAAATTTAAAAGCCCAGCAAGGAAAGATCCCACTGCCTAGAATACCAAATATTTCCTAGGAAACAATACCAAACAATTTATCAGTTAATGTAATGAATATACATCTTGTGTTTCCCCTAATATGCCAATAGTTTACCAAAACGTAAGAGAATGCTAAGTGTAGATAAATGATCCACATTTTCTGGTCCTTGACTTCAGGAACAAAAGAGTTCAAGACATTCAGTAAACTCACAGCATCCTCTTGCCCACCTTTTCAAGTCCTGTTTGTGTGTTTATTTCTTATAACACTTCAAAGCTTTTTCATGATGCTGTGTACTGATTTGAAAATACCAGTTTTAAAAACTAAATAACGGTGAAATAAAATTTCCTGTGAATCAATTTTTTAGCCATGTGAAGAGAAAATTATAGGGAAAATGACTCTACTTTCAGAGAGAAGGAAATGTCATGAGCCTCTGAATTGGGGAGAAGAAAAAAAAAACTTGCTGTGGTGCCTATTGGAAATTACCAGCAATAAGTATCTTTTTTCTCCTTGAAATAAAGTTCAAGGTAACATTTAAATGAATAATTATTTACCATTTTGTTAAATGCTAGCATGTATGGCAGGAATCATCTATTAGTACAAATGCTTTTTCTGCCTGAAATGGCTCATTAGTTTCTTTGTAGGCTGCACTGGTTTTAAGATTCAAATTCAAAATCTCCTCTGATTTTGCTGTTCCATTTCTGGCAGCTGGCCAGTGGCAGATATGCATAATATTTCACTGTTAGGCCTTGCAAACATTATATCCTGCTGTGCTAAAGAAAACATTGTGTTTCTTACCACATGAAAATAATCCATCACTTTTCAATCAGCACACACAAAAAAAGCTCTACCTGTTTTTTCCATCAGGCTCAAGAAAAATTAATGGCCCCAATGTGAAAGGTGGACCCTCCATACATGATCCATTAAAGTACAAACTAATCAAAATACATCTAGCATCTGATTTGCTAAGCAAGATGGAACAAAAGAGGTGTGATGAAAAAAAATAGATCCTCCTAAGACCCATACCACCTTGTTCTATCAGTATTAACCCTATTTGTTTACAGTGTGGCAGGGCATAAATAAAAGATCATGAAGCGGATCTGTTAAATTCAGTCAATTGAAGGAGATGATCTGTATTTGTCTGGAAGAGATGGTTAAAGACACTTGGAGGCAAAAAATTATAATGACAAAAAGTTTTGAAAGTAAAGAAAGACAAGTCAGCTCCCTCCCCCAAGTGGGTCACTATATAACAGTACAGATTAAGGTAAAAGTATTTTGTTAACTTGTCCATGCCTTTATAAATAATTTCATGCCTTTAGCAATACTGATGTTGTAGGTATTTTTCAGTGAGGGATGAGGACTTTTCTTTCTAGGACCCTATCTTATGACATAACATTCTAATCAGAAAGATAATAGCTAACAGACATCTTAAAGGAGACCCAGTTTAAAAATACATCATCTGGGCCTCCCTGGTGTCCCAGGGGTTGAGTCTCAATGCTATCACCAAGAAGGCCTGAGTTCAATCCTCAGAGAGGGAGCTAACCCACATGGCATAGCAGACCTCTTCTGTTTTGACTGCTGCTCCTCTCAGCAGTGTATTTAAATAGATTTGCTCTCCACTTTGTCTCTGATGAATCCTCTCCCACCCCCACCTCTGACCTACACTCCAGTTCTTTTATGCAAAAATAAATAGGTAAAAATCTTTAAATACATAAATAAGTAAATAAAAACACATCAGCTTACAAATCTTTAACAGTTCCCTGGGAATTGTTTGAATTTCTTTGCTACCATTGGGTTGGAAGATTTCTTATTCTTCCTCATTTTCCTATTTATTTATTTATTTATTTATTTATTTATAAGATTTATTTATTTTTATACAGGAGCTGGGTACAGGCCAGAGGCGCGGGAGGATGAGAGGATTCACCAGAGACAGAGCCAGGAACAGAACAGGAAGATGACTGAAATACACTGCTGAGGGGAGCAGCGTGCGCCACAGGGGAGGTCTGTTGCGGCCATGTGGGATTCTCACTGGCCGGCTGAGATCGAACCCCCACTGCAGAGGCTGCAGACAGCTTCACTGCGAGCTGCTCATAGCGCGGCGCTCATAGCGTGGCACTCAACCCACTCAGCCATTGGGGAGGCCCTAGTTAGTCTTTAGGTTGGTTTTCCTAAAGCATACTGATTATTTCACTTTTTACATATCCTTTATCCCCATTGAATGAAATAATAGATTTTTAGAGTTGAAACTCTCAAAAAACATGATTTTGTATACAAGGGAAGTAAAGCTCAAGAATTTTTTTTTTTTTTTAATTATTTATTTATTTATTTTTTTATAGAGGCATGTTTTATTTTTATTTGTTTGTTTGTTTTGTTTTTGTTTATACATGCACTGGGTACAGTCAGAAGCGCAGGAGGGTGAGAGAATTCACCAGAGCCAGAGCAGGGAGCAGAGCAGGCAGAAGGACCGAAGTACACTGCTGAGGGGAGCAGCGGGCGGCAGGAGAGGTCTGCGCGCCATGTGGGACCCTCCTCCGGTGGCTAGGGAGCAGCCGGGGATCGAACCGGCGCCGCAGAGGCCGCGGGCAGCTTCGCAACCCAGCGCTCAACCGCTGCGCCACTGGGGAGGCCCGAGAATTTTAAGTGATTTATCCAGAGAACTCAGTTTGGAAATGATACCCCTGCCTGGGATCCTCAGGAACCCCAATCCCATCCTTTTTCTCCTATGCAGATGGGTCTCCTCTCCTAGAGTAGCGATTCTCAAATTAACTAGTATACATATATGACCTGGGAATTTCTTTAAAATGAAAAGTCTGATTTAATTGGCCTGGGTTGGACAGGAAATCTGCAGATCTAACCAGTTACAGGACATTCTGAACAGTTGGTTTGGAGACCACTGTTGGAGTAGTATGGATTGGTGCTCAAGGACTATCTTCTGTTTACCTGTGTGAACATTCCAATCCAGTTATAGAGGGTACCTGCTCACTTATAGAATACTATTTGATTGTTTTGACTTCTATTTATTTTTTTTTCTTTTCAAGACTTTCTATTTTGACTTTTACTTCTATTCATTCCTTCTGCCCCTTGATGTGCCTTTGCAATTAAATATCTACCTTTGTTTTCAATAACAAACGTAAACTTCACTTCTCCATGAAGGCTCTCTAGTGATCAAATGTAAAGTGATATTTCCCCCCTCTTATCCTTTCTATCATTCCTTAGGAGTTTAAAGCTTTGTAAAAACTATCCTTTAAGCAGAAGAAGAAAACAAATATATGAGTGAATAAAGTAACAGCAGAGTATAAAGTACATTAAATTGTAGAAAGAGAATCTGTAGTCCCTAAACTCTGGAAAATCTCAGAATTAATAAAATGTTTTCCTCCTTTCTTTTTACTGCATCTTAGGCAGAAAATACTTCTAGGTCAATGGCAGAAAAAATATTTAGGGGGATTGTGGATTGTCATAGATCAAGGGTCATCAAATTTCATTCTTCAAGTTCCAGATCAGAAAATATTTTAGACTTTGCCTGTTGAATGGTTTCCATGACAAGTGTTCACTTCTACTGTTGTAGCAGAGAAGCAGTCACTGGCAAGATATCCACAAATAGACATTGGAAGTGTTCAGTAACACTTCCTTTACAAAAAAAGACACCTGTCTGCCATAGTTACCATCCATATCCTAGATGGGACCCAAATATATTGTAAACAAAGAAAGAGAAGGACTTTAAATATACAGTTGTTCCCATTGACTCTATAATGGGAAGCAAGTCTGAGAAACTAGGTCAGAACAAGTAGAAGATGCAAAGGGTAAATTAAGAAATCTAGGTGATTTTCCCATATAATCACCTTTTAAGGACAACCATCCAAATTTGTGTCCCTTATCTTCAAACTGAGTTTTCAAAGTCCTATGACCTTGCTACTAAAGTATGGTACATAGGTCATGTTATCGGCAATATTCTGGAGCTTATTAGAAAAGTTTGTTAGAAAAATGAAACTTACCCTCACTGAATCACAATCTGCATTTTAACAGGATCCTCAGATAATTCCTATTCACTTTACAGTTTGAAATTGCACAACCAGGTCTGTCGATCATCTGCAATTAGTATCATAATGGGGTTGATAAAAATGTCAAATTTTGATCCAATCGCAGATCTACTTATTAAGTGTCACTGTGGATATGACCTCAGGTTATTTTTGAACCTTATTGAAGTTTTAGAAACATAGATCTACACTTGAACTCTAAAACTAAAGCTCTTACTCCATAAGATAGTCACCAATTGTTCTCATTCTTCCTTATCATGAATCCCTAGCCTCATTTTTGGCCAGCTGTAGTTATTTTATTTGTTAATCTCTTCCATATCCCTTTTATTAAGTTCTGAGTTTGCTTTCCTTAATATATGAATACAGTGTACTTTTTGTTTACCTTGGTCAGGATTAGTATATGTCAATAAAATGATTCTAAGACTATTTTATTATCATTTTTAAAAAGATTTATTTATGTATGGATACAAGAACTGGGGTACAGGCCAGAGTTGTAGGGTAGGTGAGAGGATTCACCAGAGAGAATGGGGAGCAGAACAGGTGATCTACTGAAATACACTGCTGAGGGGAGCAGTGGGCGTGATAGGAGAGGTCTGCTGTGCCCTGTGGGTTGCTCCCTGGCTGGCCAGGATGGAGCTTGTGCTGCAATGGCTGGGGATAGCTTGATAGCGTTGTCTTTAACCCCTGCGCCACCAGGGAGGCGCTATTTTATTTTATTAACAGAGGTAGGAAGGTTCCTCTTTTGGATAGCCTTAAGCTTGGCTGGGAGAAGCTCCTGATAAAGCCACTTGGAGTGCAGAGTTTTCAAAGGCAAGCTCAAATAGCAACATAGTAATGAAGATATTTTCTAAGGATGGAGAGAAATCTATTAACCAACTTATTACTGCCTGCTCTTTTTATTTTTGCCTGTAAATAACCAGGTTGCACTAGAAGTGAATTTTTCTAGAGAACAGAGGAGACACGAGCAATCATTGAATGAAAAATCAGTAGGAAAAAAAAAAATCTGGCTTGCAATAAGGGAGACAGGGCTTTGGGGAAAGGTAAAGGTCAGTGGCTTATGGACTATATATTATAAAACCCCTGTTTTGAGTCCTCTGCTAGATCTTCCATCTTCAGCAAAGTTTTTATTGTTTGCTATGATTTCTTTTCATATTGGATTTATTTAGAGTAGGGCATGGGCTGGGAGGAGAACAAAGGTGATGACAAAGGTGAATCATGGTGGATATGGTAGACAAAATGGCCAGAGAATGAGAGGACAACAGACATCTAGGTTACATCAGAGTGGGAAACACAACAGGCAGATCTGCCGAGCAGCAGGCAAGACAGAAGAGGTCTGCCGTGCCATGTGGGTCAGCTCCCTGGCCTGGTACTGAACTCAGGCCAGAGTGGTGATAGAGTGACAGCACTGAGACCTAATTCCTATGCCATTAGGGAGGCCTCATGAAATAATTTTAACTTACTGTTTATTTTGTAAGCACTCAATACATGTGCTAAATTCTGACGAAGACAGAATGCCATTAAACTAATCAATCAGTATAGACATGCACCTCAATTATTATAATCTACTTAGTTCTGATTATTAAAAGGTATTAATGGATAATACAAATTTAGTAGTAATATATTACAAATAGATGTGCATCTGATTTGACAGTTATATGAATAAGTATCAGTCTGTGTTATACATAAGCGGCCTTTTTTTCCCCAGTTAGTAAACTTCCGAGAAACCATCTTTTTTTCAAAAACCATTTTGTTATGGACCATGATTTTAGGACTCGGGGTATTTTGAAAGAAACCTGTGCATTGAAAATGTAGACATGGCATTTCTCTGCCTGGCTGTATCTATGCAGGCATGTATATTTCCATTTTTTCCCCTTTCCTTAATAAAATTTCCTTATGCTGAAGAAAATGAAAAAGAAAATGTAGACAGGTCTTAAATGTTTTTGAACTAGTCTCCAATACCTGAACATTGTAAAAACTACAGAAATATTGGAAGAAATATCATATGATGTTGAAAAGATCAAAGGTAAATCATGTAAAGAAAGGATCCATTGGTAATAAAGCATTCATTCATGAGATAAACCCCGGATGGACTGACTCTGCTATGCTAAGGCATTAAACAGGCAGCCATAGGTATAATCAGAATAATCTCTCCTTACAAGCTCTTCTAAAATGGAGAGAAAATTTAAAAAATAATCTCCGTCTATGTCCTTAATTTAGAGTGTTATTGGAGAGTTATTTAAGAGACCCTAAACAGTTAAGAGTTTAATACAAGCATATATTATAGTTGTTTAATAGAGAAAAGTCTCAATATATTTGATTATTTCTGTATTTGCATAAGGACATGTTTTTTCGAACCCATCTTCTTACATAAGAATAGATAGCTTTTATTAGAAATATATAGCTACAACTTATCAGATTGATACAATATGTTATGACTCTTTCAAAGTAAAATCCTTCCTGATAGTAGTCCCATTAGCACAGATACTATGCTCAAGATTGTTCAATTAAGTGATTTGATTGATTGATTACTGCTTTATTGAGATATAATTGGCATTCAATAAATTGTATATATTTAAAGCTTGCTATTTGAAATATCTGGTGTATGTATAAACCCCTGAAAACATCACCAAAATGATTAAGATAATGAGCATACATCACCCCCCAAAGTTTCCTCAGGCCCCTTTGTAATTTGTCCCTACCCCCTCCCAACTCCTCTGCAGCAACCAGGACTCTGTTTTCTGTCACAGTAGGTTATAGTTTTGTCGGGCTTCTTCCTTGAACATAAATATTTTGAGTTTTTTTATTACATGTATCAATAGTTGATTATTTTTTCTTGCTGAGAATTATTATATTGTAGATTGTGCAAATGTGCGTTTACCTATTCCCCTGTTGAGGTGCAATTTAGTTTCCGATGTTTGGCTATTTCAAATAAACTTCTATGAATGTCTGTTTAGAAGTCTGTTTATGGACATATACTTTCACATTTTCAGGTTAATACTTAGTAGGGGGATGTGGGATGAGTGTGTTAGTTGCATGTTTAACTTTTTAAGAACCTATAGAACTATTTTCCAAAGAGGTTATGCCTTTGTACACTGGTAAAATATAGTGTATACCACCAGCAGTGTAGGACAGTTTGTGTTCCTTCTCACCATCAATGACCCATTGTATGAACAGTATTTTTAATGTTACCCTTCCATTCAGTGGGTAGCTATATTTTAGTGGAACTTTAGATAGTGATTTCAAAGATTTCCTTGCTAAGGAAATGAAAAGACAAGAAAATAAATTTAATCTTTTTCATTCTGCCTGTCCTAGATATTTCAGGTTGAGCATTGATTCTAAAACCTTCCTTTTTGCTCTGCCATGGTCAAAAGAGTTCATTCACCTCTCCCCTTTGACTCTTGCAGACAATTGTGTGCCCTTAAAGGAACTAACAACAAGAATTAAGATGCCCTGGAGGCAAGGTAAAATTTGGCCCATGTAATCAATCATATCTGCTTCACTGAACTATAATGACCCTGTGTACAGCAAAACATCTTCAGAGAGGCAGACTTATTTCCATTAGGTTTTTAACATTTGGGGAGATAGAAGGCAGTTTCTGCACTTAGTTTCCACAATGTTCAGTCATATCCACTCCATTTCTGGGGGCATATAATGTATTACATTAGTGCATAGTTATGCTGGTATATCAAAATATAAAGATAAGTAGATCAGTAGACCACCTCATCTGTTTTTTTTTTTTTAATATTGTCATTGATAATTCAATTTAAGGAATGGGATAAGTTACAGAATATCCAACATCACAGTAGCCACATACAAATAGTGAATAGTGATAGCTGCCTTGGGTTTCATCAAGAATTATTCCTTCAAAATGAAGTAAAGTAGAAGACTTGGAGATAGATATATGACCTTGAGGAACAATTTCCAAGAGACACGAAAGAAAATAATTTGCTGTTACCAGCATTAAGGAAAGTAGCTTTAATGTTTTAAGCAGTTGCCAAATTATAATAGTGACTAATTAGACTATTACAATCCCAAGCACCTGCAGCTTTATAGGAGAAGTCACTTTGTCATCAGTTTTCTGGTATTGTTTTCAGTGAAGGTCAGATATACACCTAGTATTTTATTCATCTTCCAAGGAGCTTTTATGCCTTTCAGATACATGACTTTTTTGTTCACATTTCTTGTAAGCCATGTCAATCTATTTTCATACAACATAAAGAAGAAATTGAGAAATTCTCCAGACAACTTCCACCTTTTAGAAAATTATTCCTGAATTAGATGCGATACTGTGGACATTATGACCTCAAAGAGTCTAATCTGCATCTCATATAAGTGCCTAATCTTGACCAAGATGATGGTCTTGATGAAAGTGATGATGAAGTTGATGATTACGATGAAAAGTTAATGATGATGGTGATCAAAAATACTACTAATGATAACGGCAGCTAACATTACTCTGGACCAGCATTCTACGAAGTGCTTTGCATGCATTGTCTCATTTAATCTTTGCAGCCCTGTCAAGTCAGTCTTATCATTATTGCCCTTTTACAAGAAAGTGCAGTGAAACAAATTACTTTGACCGTGCACCACTCTGTAAGCTTCCCCCATGTTATTCTAGTCTCTGTTACTACAAAAAAAAAAAAAAATGGAGCTTGTTCCTAATAATTATGATTAGCGGAAAAGTTGAAGGACAGGTAATGTACAATTTGGTTGGAGGAAAAGTTTGATAGTTCTCATCCTGGATAACAATCAGTTAAATGGATGTAGATATCAAGAATAGGGGGGAAAGTACTTCAAGCAGCAGATCATTATGCAGGAGCTCAGCATGTTTATTAATCATTGTGCACAATTAAAATGCCATTTCATCCCTCTAATTAAAACAAGTAGTTCCCTGAGGCTAGCACCTGAACTAATGAAGCCTGGTTGCCTAAGGTTCTTACTCAGGGAAGGGAATTAAACAATGGAGGAAGCAGTATGTTTACCAAGTTGCCTGGACAACGTCAACCTATCCATGACATCATGAAAGAGTGGACCAGTTGAGACCGTGATTTT